TTTTGATACAAAATTGAGTAATCTTCTTGTTTCAGTCATAATTTATGATCATCGCACTTATTCAAGACAATTTTTCTTTACTCGAGGCTATTTCATTTTCATCATCGAAACAAAGAACACCTAAGTAAAGTCTTTTGACAACATAAAATCTCGCGCGATAAGATCTGTATTTCGTGCCCCTCGATTTTCAAGCTTTTTGAAATAGTCTCCGTACACGACAGGGTATATTGACGATAAACCAGGCACGGTCAGTATCTTTCAAACTTCGAAACGGTTAAGTGTCTTGTCCATGGTTGTAGAGAGACAGCATGTATAATATGAGTTTAGAGAAAGGATGACTCATGTGAAGAGCTTGTAATTTATAAACAGCAACCAAATTCGATACGAGTCCCAATACCGTCTGAGTCGCCCAAAACACGCGAAACAGCTTAATTACTCCCCACGAAGTAGGTAGTCTGAGTTGCGATAGGTTACCCATAAAAAGGCAGAGCTTCGAAGAAAGCTGTGAAGAGCTCTTTAGATTTTATAGACTGATCCCAAGAGATATTCTGAACGCGAAATACGGCGGTAGCCTTCGGTCATGCACCAATAATTGAAGCATGGTTGGGATGACTGACAACTTCTGCTGTGTAGTCCAGACTGGTCTCCATCAAGCTGTTCCGATTTACGCAGAACTCAAATTAAAAGAACCTTCAGACCTACAGCACCCGCAACTTTTACAACCAGTTCATAATATCCTATTGAGATGTGATAATGAGATTCAAGCGCTGCTCCCGACCACAATGCCAGAATCCGCGTGTTCCATAAAAGAACTGGGAATGCTGAGGTGGTTGTAATAGATAAGTGATAAGAAATCAGAACCATTTCAGGAGGAGGTGTAATGGTGATCAAAAGTCTGAGTTATACGTTGTCAGTGCGCTGGATTGCAATGTACTTTAAGCGTTCCCGGTGGGCTGTTGGAGTCACTGTAGCAAAAAAGGAATCTACTTACACTGAACGCAAGCATGACGAATCTGCAACATGAAAAACCTGTAAATTGGAAAATCCTCCTCTTCAAAGTACCCGATCCGCTTTATTCCGCGTGAAGCGCCACTCTCACTCTGTTGCAAGCTGCCGCCGGGAGAGCAATTTTGTCCAAGTCTTTATGTTGATGTTTGTTCTCACTGAGCACATCTTTTTGATTCTATTTCGAAATCATCCGATACATTCGGAAAGAAAATTTGAGATCAACCTTTGAAAACTCCCTGTTGCGGTTGCCACTCCCATCGACCTACGTTATGTCAAACGAGCGTAGAGGCGGAGGATTGCAATATTCGCGCCAGGAATCACACGTTCAGCACTCAATCAGCTGATCGCTATGTATATGTATATGTATTATTCTGCGGCGGTCATTTTTCTAGTTTTCTACCTTAAGAGGATCAAAGATCAAAGGGAAGGTTATTCTCGTTGTATCTGTGTTTTTGTTCTCTTATGCTCATAAGTGAATAAATTCTGAAGGGCATTTTCGCTTAATGTAGTCAACTAGCAACAGGACCCACACGTACACAATGACACACATTGTATAGCTCGTCCAAACACCCCCTTCAAAATCATTTTTGTAGTCTTATTCTCGTCCAGCCCCTTTTAAAATGACTTATTCAAGGCCTTTTATCACTTCAAAAATACCGATTCTCGTGCATATCTCCCCTCCATCATACTATTTTCCACCTTCTCTTTTATTTCTAACTTTTCCACAATCTGGATAACCCCAAATTATCGTGAACTGTGCTTTTAGGATTCTTATTTCGCAAAATGAATCCTAATTCGTCATTCTCTCCGGCTAACTGAAGAATCACTAGCTGAAATCAGCTATTTCGTGACAAACTAGATTGGCAGGAGAAGCATCGACTAGCTTGGCTGGCCCTCGTTGACACTGCATAATCATGCCGAGCTCCACCGTGATCTTAAGTAGGAGTTTGTTGAGAGCGTTCCGTCCGGAATAAGAGTGAAACGAGTTGCCTCGTTTATTTTCAGTTACCTGGTAAATGCTGACAGCATGTAGCACAACACGAGATAAAATCACTGGGCAGATATTGATGTGAGTCTATATGAAACATAAAGGGAAGGGGACAGCTAAATTGCACGTAATATTTTTGAGAACCTCTGAAGGTTTGTCGCCGTGTTGGTTCAGGAGATTGAGCTCTCTTTCATCTTTATTCGCATACGAACACTCAGAGGAGAGCAAAGCTCACGTTGTGGACGCTTCAGCGTCCACTGAAAGTGCAATTCTGCGTATTGATCGCATCATGCAATCCTCATCGCAATGCTAGGACAATTTAGCTTCTTAGACGGCACTTAGCTGCACGTCATTAGATATTCCCTTACCTTATTCCTCAAATAAAGTAATTCAAATATAAAATTTCTTTTTGAGTGGGAAGCTCGTTTTACTTACGTGGACTTCGCAAGTGCTTTTCTATGTTCGGTTTTTGTCAACATCTGTATCTTCGATAGATAGTTAGCCATACGTGATTCGTCGCTGTCATGCAATGTCTTAAACATCTGCTGTCTGTATTTTCGACGCGCTTGGTGACGCTAACCGTTCGATTCAAATTACTGTAATAGGCGGAATTCTTTTGTCGCTTTCATTTCACGGCGATAGTGTGTTATTTCGTGAGCGGTTAAAACTAGGATTTTAAATCCTTTTGTTCCTGCAGTGATTCCTTTTTCTGCAGCAATGCGCTTATTATTACTAGTGTAAGATCGTGAAGAAAAACAAATCTGGACTCGTGCTGTTATGTGGCAGGCGCCACGCCTTCACACATTCTCTTGAAACCATGGCATATTCAAGGAAGCCATCTCAGATGCTCTCACCCATACTTCTTAAGTGCCTCAACAACATGATTTATACCATTGTGTTATGTGTAACATTGTAACGAATCGCTTCCTACTTACCGCTCTTGGAAATCATTCACGATGAGCGCTCGGAGAAATCATTCATGATGAACATGACGCTATGCTTCAATAACGACACGAGCTCCAACTAGGGGAAGAAAATGTGTTGCGTGTGCCAGTTCGCTCACAGTCCACAGGCTGAACTTGTATAATCAGACTTCGATACGTCTGACCAAAAAGAATGTCACGCAATAGAGCTCGAATGAGCTTTCTAAACCCTTTGGTGAGCTCACATCTGCAGACCTTAGAAGAAGACGGTCTGGACCCTTTTCTGAAGCTCTTCCGCGTGAGGAATTCCCTTTATCCGAAATGGTGTACAAACCTAGGCAGCATGCAGCTTCCCATGTCTAGGAGTAATTCTGCGACGATCACGGCCTCTTAAACATGAATCTGACATAATAAAACCAAACTGTCAGAGTTCATTGTTCACACACAACGAATATTTGGCTTTTTTACTTACTGACAGAGCGTGCACAGTTCATTCTTTCACGTTTCCTGAGTGTAGACTAGTTTGCTTTCATTTGGTTTGTAGTTCTGTTTTTTGTTTTTTGCTCCTGTCATAGCCTGTCTGTTTCATGACAGATGGTCTCAGCAATTTTGGTAAACCTACTTAATTGGTAATCAAAGTTGACTTTTGATAGGCAGACTTGACTGTCGCTGTCTTTACACACTGACTTTCCCTATCCATCTCTACGGTCGTTCATCCCCTTTTCTTGTTCTTTTTTTTCTCGATTTACTCATTGAGGAACTGTTTCCCATTTCGCCTACAAAAAGCCACTATTTCATCATTGGGCGCTGAGAGGACAGGAACTGATAATAACTGGTTAGGTTATAGTCCAGGGAACAAGTGGAAAACTATAAAAGCACACTATAACTGCTTATAACACCGGACATCGAACATGTGCACTAAATGATGACGAAATTTCGTGGAAAGACCGTCTTGAGATTGAATTCAACGAAGACGATGTTCGAGAAACGGATCGGTACCTGATGCTCTCTTTACGCTGAAAGGAACGAATATATTCTAGTTCCCTAGCTTCGCGTATCTAGGTCGGGAAGCTAACATGATAAACGACCTAGCTCCAGGGCTGAGCAGAGGACGAACGCACTGCGTGAGGATTATTTAAGAATCTGGAGGGAGTACTGAGAGAGTCAAAGACATCCGACGCTCATCTTCCAGAAACTGCTTCCCTTGCTTTGAAGTACGTCTCGGAGACTTCGACTCTTCAACAGCCTCATGAACATGCTGTCCGCGTTACCAAACACGCTTTGGATAGAACGGTGTTCAGAATTCACGCATACACACAGGTGCAAAGGGGAATCCGAGGTTAAATGCTCTGTCAGCGAAGTAAAACCAGGGTTGCAGTTGTTTGGGCCAAGAAGTCGAAGATCTGCTTGGTTGGACAAGTTATGCGATATGGTTGGCGCCGACAGTTGTACCAGAGCGGTAACTGACTGCATCCCTCCGAATGACAAACGAACATCGAGACGGTCACCGGCGCCATGGTCAGATTTCTTCACGAAAGTTCTGAACAAAAGAATCCTGTGCATCGTGTTCCTGGAGGAAGGACTATCTACTGGACCACTCTGGCTTGCGACAGAAACGAATGGAGAGTTACTGGCACCCGCTCGAGGAAGTCGATGATTGACGAGACGACAAATGATACGATAAGTGATTTTAACCTTACCAGAACTCAATTCAAGAAATCTGCCGAAACGTAAGCCAAGTGAAGTTTACATATCAAGCTTGAAAAAGAATAAAACTGACCATTTCAGACGATAACTCATTGATACTCATTGCGAGGCGACTGCGATTTTTTAAGCTCCAACTGTGTAGCGCTTTTCGAAAACCCTACATCCCTTATTTCTGGTTCCGTTGCCAAGGAGTAGTTTAGCCAATTTTTTCTGTAATTACAATGCATTGATATGTAATCGAAAATATATTTCTTCGTGAGCTGTTGTTACTTTTTAGCCTTACTGCTAACCACAATGTCTAGATGTTTTGTAACATTCGATACACGCACAAATTTTGCAATCCAATCCAAGAGAGCCGTTTTTAGAAAACGAGAATGGTCAACACGAAAATTGTCCGTAGGAGTCGCCTGGCTGCTGAAAAAGTAAGTTGCTTGCGTTTTCCCTTCTATTAGTGAAGCTGTGTGTCCTTCAGCACCTATCGCACGTTCTCCACATTCGTGGCATGAGAGGACGTTTTCTGAGAAAACGTCGAAGGTCAAAACGGACCCTGACTGGAACTGCAAAAACAGTAGGACATTCGATTCTTCCCTTAATTATTTCTGCCTCTTAGAATTCTTGCGCTCAGATTAAAAACCGCAACAATCCGCGGGTCTGGTCTTCGCATGTCGTTGGGACTGAGGATTCGGTTGACTGCAGGTGAGTAGTTCCATGAAGAGAATGTAAAGAATAAAAGTGTGTTTTCCACATTGGAAGCGTTTTTCTGATACGTCTCAATTCGCATAATCAATTATATACATACATTTAATATGTATATATGCATATATATATATGTATATATATATGTATTTGCTGAGTGTGCCGATAGTTGGAAGTGTGTTTTTGTTGAATGGGAATTCACTGTACACCTCTCTCCCAATAATTTAGCGCGCGTAGTGATAGCTGCTGATGTAGTTTTACTGTCCCGCTTCATCGGAATTCGAAGGTCTATCGTTGGAACGATGGAGCTCTAGGCATTTTAACAGTGGGCGAGAACTTTGTCATAAGGCAGATTAACATGCATCGCAACATGGTACATAGATATATCAGACACGCAACTTTAACATGACTGAATCTGAGTTCCGCTCTTGATAGCTGTAGAAGAGGAGCGGGGAGAGGATTATATGTGCGCCGTTGAGAGACCGCCCTCCTCGATTTCTAACAAAGGGCGTTTCCTCGCACATGCGATAGAGACTCGCTTACACTTGCACCATTCACATAGTCCCATGCTGACATAAACAAAGATTTACAAGCAAATAATTGATACGAAGAGACAATGGGTACATGGTGTTTGCATTCTCTATCTAGAAATATTTGATTATTAACTTGTGTGCTATGAATTTGTAAGCATGTAGTGCTCATAGTTACTTATTGACTAATTACGAATATAAGTTGTTAAGTCGACATAATGGATAAGTTTAGCTGAGGTGACGACACTTATGTATAAAGTGGTCAGAGCAGTCGTTCAAAAACACTCTAGAATGTGAGGAACAGTGGTTGGAGGTGATAGAAGAAATGCGACCAAATCCCTAAAGTGGGCGGGGCTGTGATCGAGAACCCATAGCTTTGCACAGGAACGTTCTAATGTGAGGGACAAAAGTGCAGTTCTGAAGAACTCAAATCTTCGGCTTGATCCGTGCTCGCACGGTGGTGGGCTAGACTGAGATCAAAAACCGTAACTCTGCTTGGAAACTTTCTGGAATGCGGAGGAGATGGGTAGGGTCAGTTACAGTAAGTGTTGTGAAACTTTCATAGAGGGAGGGTCTGCACTGAAGCGAACGGGGCTGTGATCAACCACTAATAATTTCGCTCGAGTAAAATATATCCAGCGAATGCCCTCGAAGCCGCCCCAGCGCACAAATCTAGAGAGAATTATCTCATTCTGATACATCAAATATTTCGCCGTAGATGAGCAGTCGCGGGTTTACATGCACGCATTAGCGTGCAGAGCCCAACTGGTGGATCGAAATGCAAGAGTCTATAACGTCTTCAATCTCAAGAAAAAGAGATCAGCTAACGTTAAATGCTCCGCAGTCCGTAACATTACGTAACAGAGTCCTATCCTGTTTCCTCTGTGGTTCTTATGTAGCCCCGCTACAATTTATAACTTTTTGTGAACCTCACTTCCGTATGAATCGATTTATGATATGAATCGATCGAGAGCGCCTCCACTTTCGACGCCTCTGGATTCGCATGTTTCGTAAGATAAATCCTCTCCCGTCTAGCAGTCGGCGTTCAACGCGAGTTGCCTTCTGGTCTCTTTCAACCAGATGGTGTCGCACATACTTGGCATTCCTGGCTCGCTTCCCTAGATCATCGATACATCTTCCGATGTGAGCGTTCGTGCATTCAAAGTGCAGATTGTCACTAAGTTTGCCTCCTTTTAAGCAACCGGTTATGGCCCTGAGGCTTGAGCAGCTTCTCGCGAGCAGTCCTACCCAACGCTGTCATACTAAATTAAATTACTACTTTCAGTATAGGTACGCATAGTAGCTATGAAGTATAGCTTGCCAGACTCTAACATGCGGATCGGGAAAATTCGGGGCAGCTTGCCAGGCTATACCTGTGTATACAAGGGGCCTAATCTTCAAAAGCATCCTGTATCTGCGTTTCCACTCACTCGAATGCATGCTTTCTGCAGGCCATCTACGTATTCATGCATGGACGTACCGAGGAGAGAGAATAAAGAAATCAACCCAACGCTTCAGGAGGGAGTCTATTCCCTGAATCTACTTGCCTCTCGGGAAGAATCAATGACTTTTAGTCCACGATCTGCTTCCCATCTGTGGTCACGCCACGCAGTCTCGTCACCGACTGGCTAGAGTTGCTTCAGTGAAAGAGAACCTCAGTGAAGGAGATCCGCGAAGAGAGAGAGAGAGTGAAGGGAACCGTCACTTTTTTCAGATGACCACGTTCATCCTCTTGAAGTCGTAGTGGATATCAGTTGACTCAAAGGAGCTTGTTTTGTTTGTTAAGAGTTCAGCCAACTCTTTCCTTGAGCACTGTAACAATTCCACAGTAGTCAGTTTTACGCTTGAACAAGCTTAGAGGTGTCTAAACTGCATTTTGTAAGTGATGTAACACACAATTTTGTCAGCTGATGACGTCTTCCTGGAAACAGCTCAATCATCCGAACACAAGTGTGGGCTTTCAACGACGACTTGTTCGCTCTCTTTTTAAAAGAACTATGTTGAGAGGAGTGGCACGTCTGGGGTATAGAGCCACTCAGTAACCAGCAAAAGACGCTATGAAGTGGGGTCAGTACTGTGGATGAGGGTGGTATTGTAGTCACTAAGTTGGAAACAGCACTAGCTGGGTGCGCTCAAATGTGGTGACCAATAGAGATACAGGAACTAGGACAGATCCTAGCAGAACGGTCTTCGGACTCCGAGCATCATAGCAAGCCTCATCAGAGAATTTCTGACAACGCTCTGAAAGAAGTCTTCGGTGCGCCGCCGATGAATGGATATGTGAGAGTGAAGCGCTAGACGTAAACGCTAACAAAAGAACAAAAGCTGGCCTCACTCCGAGGAGGAGGAGTTGAAATATGTCGCGAAATATAGCAATCCACGCAATCGAGCCAGTGGGTGAGTGCGAAAAAGTCTCTGTCGATCAACGAGTAGCTACGAAGTCATGTGGTGGTGTCCTTCACTACAACATGTTCCGCAGACATCGTCTAGATGACTTTACATGGGAAAGGATGATCAGGAAACTCGAAAAAGGTCCAATCATGACGAATTCAGTCCATGAGCTCGGTATCGGTCACAGCGTTGTTCCGAGTGCGTAGAGAACATTACGAACCTCTGGTACTGCTGCCTGCACGAAGCCATGATTAACTACTTTAAACATTGGTCATGATAATGATGGTCGCTACATTGGGCAGCAGGCAAAAAAGAACCACGTTTATCCGCTCCTGTGTCTGCAATGCCATTTAACAGGACTTCAGGGCGAGCCATCTCATGCCCTTCAATAGCAGCACGTGTGCATGGTGTCGGTCTTGCCCTGACGATCGCTGCCTTGTGCCCCCGTGACTCCCCTTCATCGGCGAAACTGTTTACGATAGTGCTAGGGGCATGCGAATGAGCCAAGGAATGGAGCCGCGTGCTCACTCCGCAAGAGAGCAGATTCAGTAGGTGCAATGATTCTGGATGCACTCTCGTTTGGCGAGAGACAGGAACTTTGTCGAACGTGATCGCTGCGCGGTCTTATAGTATGGGAAAGCATCATCCTGCATGGCCGCACTTATCTCTGATCTACGAATTTTTGACATGGAACTCCTACCGGTCAGCGGTATTGTGAGAGGTACTCCTCCATTGTGAGCGTTTTTTCATGAGGGCGATTGGCCCTCAATTCACTTATAATAATGGCAACCATCGATAGCATCGAACAGCACAGTTGAAGAATTTCTTGTAACGAGAGGATAGAAAAGCCCACTCAATCCTCTGACCTGAATCCCATCGAGCACGTGTTGGGTACACAACGTAGGCACATTGAAGCGCTTCCAAACACACCAGTGACCATCCCGCAATTGTCAAATGCGCTGATACAGGCATGGAATGCCTTACTATAGAAACTTAGTGCCAACCTTGTAAAAAAATGGGATCGCAGTGCAGACCATGTATCGCCGTTCGTGGTAACATACCTTAGCCTCTTAGGAACGACGTCACTTCTCAAAGTACCAGGATAAAAAGTGAAGACCTATGTGTGATCTTTGAATAAGAATGTTAAAGAATGTTCACATTGTTTCGGGGTTCTGTTGGTCGCTTTCTGTGCAATACCGTAACGAACTTCCATTATTTTGTATGAATATCGTTGGGCTGAGTTATCCGGCAGAACTACAGTAATCAAATACGATCTGGCGTGACGGCGAAGGTTTGCGTCAGTTGTGTCGTCGCAATCAATTGCGACGCACCAGCGAGACGAACGATATGGTCGGGCGTCGGATCATGAATATTTGATGAACACTTTTCTACGACTGCGAGATATAACCTCCCGTTTTTCATGCTAGTGTTGTTCTTCATCTTTATATGCACGAACTGGTAACGTAAGCCAGGATCGCTGGGAGCTCACGCTGTGTAAACAGATTTCTCTGGAAGGAGAAAGAGATGGAGCCACCTATGCTCTGACCAATTTTTGTCCGCTAACCGCTTATTTCGTAAAAGTTGGCCTTCGCCGTTACACCACCTCCAACAGCACCAAATTCCACTGACGAAGATGATAGCCCTAATGGCTCCCGCAGTTGCTATCAATCATTATCACTAAACACCTACGGTCCGTTTTTAATCCACACCACCTATCAAAGTGACGAGGCTCCACCGTTAACACGGAGGAGGTGACGGATCCTGCGACTTTTACCTTCAGCTCCTATCGATTGTCGCTACTTCCTGTCATCTATAATCCAATGTCTCCATATTGCCGCCTGTACTTCAACCAGGTTTGATTGCTCTACGGCCACGGAAATAGGCCACAGAGTCATGAATTCACGCTCAAACATTTCGAGCACACCCCGATCTTATGGTGGAGTCTCTTTTTGCTACCTGCAGTAAGTGTTCCCATCCTGCCTTCTGTATTCCTGCTATACTCAAACGCCCTCGGTAACAGGAATCATGATTCTCAGATCAAACACACACCGACGAACCAAAGGACACTTTTAGCTATCATATTTATATAGTACGAGTGAGTAGTCCGATTGAAAGGTATCAGGTAGGGAGTTCAGCGCGTAGTGACACAGTACAAATGTATTCATGTTATAAGCTGAATGGTATGCTGGATAGAGAGTTTTCAAGGTGGGGGAAAGTGCGCATGCACTGAGACGTAAGTGTAATTAGTTTCCGCAGTGGTGAAAAGCACCATCACTGTTTTGCTGTTGCTGGCAGTCTCACATTGAATGACCCTTGGTCAGTATGCTTTTGTTATTGCCAAAATGTGCAGTACATGGCTGTACATTTGTCAATTGATTGCGCTTCATCTAACTATGATTTTCAGCACTAGCGACATAACTCATGGCTTTGTTCGATTACCTCCGCGAGTTACAGAAACACTGGTCAAATGGAAGCGTGTGCTTGTGAGCACTAACGACGAAAGCGTTTTCCCATTAGATCGTCGTAAGTGATTAAGAAATTTCCAGCTGTGGTATGATGTAGTTTTTCGTAAAATTTGTAGTTCTGTGCAATACCATTCCTTACCGTCCTGATGATCTTCCTTTTATGCTATAATTGAACCCTGATCTTTCTAGTAAACGACCTCAACTTTTTTAGGATCTTAGAAAAGAGGCCAAGGTACAGTAGCGCTCAGAAGTATTCGACCGAATGCATCTTCGGTCGTACTTTTCAGTCGTAACTCCGTTTCCACTGGATCTAATCACGCGAAATTTCAATATGTGTAGAATGGGTGTAGTGTGAATTTTCCACTATTAAACTGTAATCTGATCTTGTTCCAGATATCCCAATGAGCTTGAACTTATAATCAACTGGAAATACGAACATTGCTCTTCCTAAGAGTTCTTTCCCTTTTGCCATGTCTTAAGTGTACGAGCGCTAATGTCTAACACAGTGAAGGAGAAAAACGCACATAAGTTGCGAATCAATGTAAACGCCAATAACTTTGTTTTCAGCGGAATTTACTACCGCAACAAGTATTGCTCTTAGTTGTGCGGATATTGATGCTTTGCAGGTAGTGTTGTATAGTGAAATATGCTTTAGTTAAACATATCGAAATTTCGCTCGATTTGCTCCACTAAGAAAAAAGTTATGAACGGAAACGCGTGAGAGCGTTTAACCGAATACTTTCGAGCGCTACTGTATGTGTATTGTAGAGTTCCGAACGCTACTTTCGAACATAGAAGTCAAAATTCATAAGTGATTTCAACAAAGTTAGAGCATCACGGGGATGGTTCTGGTTGAAGTAGGCAGTTCAGCACCACAGCAAGCCTCTCCGTCGGTAATTCTCTCCTTAATCAGACGAAAGATATGAGTTGCTTCCAGCCCTCACCTTTGTTTTTTGCATTGTGTTCTTTTCTCCCAATGAAAACCTTCATAACTATTTCTGATATTCATTTGGAATGGTGCCCTATTTAGGTTATCGTTTACGCTTATCGCACTCACTTGATACTCAACGTTTCTAATTTTTTTATCTTTTTTGTTTTCAACATTGAATCACAAAGAGGAATCGCCTTAGAGTAAATACGTGTAAAAACTCATCAATGATAAAACAACGAAAAATATGCGCAGGATACATGATGTTTGCAAATTTTGCACTTCATACATGCTGCCTTTTTGCAACCATCCTGCTTTATTTATCGCGCTAATGTCTGCGTCTTTGTGTGTTTGTGCGCGTGTTTGTATGTCTGTAAGTGTGTGTGTGTCCGACCGGAAAATCACAACTCCTGTCCTCGTGGACCTAAAAAGTTCGAACTTTGTAGGAGTACTGAACGCAGGATCGCTAAGGAGCAGGCAGGAATGCTTATCGTGAGTGCCAATACGGGACCCCGCTCACCGAGGCTTGGGGGGGGGTGTGCGGAAAAAAGTTTGAGCGTAAAATCATAACTCCTGTACCCGAATTTCAAAAATTCAAAGTCAAGTTTTAGTTTGAAATTTCAAAGGAGTTTATGCGGCAGGATGTGGACACTAA